AACAAGAAGGCGCCGGCAGAGGCCTCGTACAGGAGGCCCAAGCAGGTGGGGTCGGAGGATCGCGCCGCATCGCCGATGCATCAGCGATGCATCGGCGATGCCTCGGCGACGTCGGCGATGCATCGACGATGTCGGCATGGAGAATGTAGGACTCCGCATCGCGCCGCATCGCCGATGCATCGGCGATGCCCCGCGATCCTCCGACACCATCTACTCCGACCCCATCTAGGAGGCCTAGAGCTGTAAGCAGACTGGGTTTCCGCCCGCTCCCCGAAGAGGACGGATTGAGGGGAAGCCTCTCGATCGTGGAAGTAGGAGGGCGCCCAAAGTAGAGTGGGATCTGGAGGCCAGGAACACCTACTCTTAGGTCGGCCATGTCCTCCTACAAGCGGATTCTACAAGGAAGAACATCGAATAATCAAAAACACTCAAACATGGTCAAGAGTTGTCGAAAAATCGTCCCCTGCTTTTTTAAAAGCAAAAAACTATGTTTGATGATTCCTCCTGTAGAGGGGACCTGCCCGATTCAAGTTCACTCCCAACGATCCAAAGGTGGCCGCCGCCCACCCAGGGGAGAGAGCGAGAGCGAGAGAGAGAGAGAGAGAGCGAGCCCGCGAGGGCCCCCCGCCTCCAGCGAGCCCCGACAGGCTTCTGCGGAGGCCTCCCGAAGCCTTCCAGAGGCCTCCGGAGAGGCCTCCGAGGGCACCGCAGAAGAGCCTCCGAAGGCCCGCCCCCGAGGACGTTTGGAGGGCAGAAAATCCACCCCGACGATGACCGCCCCGACACGCGAAGCCGTTTCGTAAACGCACCCAAAAAAAAGAATCAAACAGGGCAGGGCTGTTTAGTAAGCGCCCAGGGCCGTTTAGTAAACGCCCATTGTCCGGTCCGGGTGGTTTTTCCTCCCTTGAACGTTTGACTTTCACTTCGCGGGGTGATCTCTCATCGGCGGCGAGCGCGAGGGGGGGAAGCGCCCAAAATGGCATCCAGGACGGCCTGGAAGCGCCCCGAGGCGGCCCCAAGACACTCCAGAGAGGCTCCCAAGACGGCCTCTGACGGCGTCAGACGGGCCAGAAACGCCCCACGACGGTCAAAGAGTCCCCAAGAAGCCCCATAGGCCCCCAAGAGCCCCAAGGAGGCCCCCAAGAGGCCTCCAGAAGATCCCCAAGAAGGAGAGAAGGCCTTCTCAAAAGGCGGCGGAACTCCTCAGGAGCCCTCGCGCCTTCTGAGAAGTTTTCTGTGTCTTCGGTGAAGGCTCAGAAAGCTTCTCAGAAGGCCCGGGACCTTCTGAGCCTTCTGAGAAGGCCCGCCCCTTCTCATTTCCCCCCCGGGCTCGCCGATCCAAGGAGAGCGAGCTGACTTGGCCAGCCACCGGGCTTCGGGCCAGGCCCACTGCGTTGCCGATGCCCATGCTGGAGAACTCCCGGATGGGGCCGGAGTAGAGGTGGTCCGGGGATCGCGCCGCATCGCCGATGCACCGGCGGCGTATGCGGTGGCGGTGCATCGGCGACGTCGCCGTGGAGACATTGGGCTCCACGCCGGGCCGCAATCGCCGATGCATCGGCGATGCGGCGCGACCCTCCGACCCCATCTACTCGGGCCCCGCCTGGGAGGCCCAGAGATGCGGCTCCAGCGGCCCGACCCCGAGGTGGGGGGAGGGAGGGGGGGGGGGAGGGGGGGGGGAGGGGGAGGAGGAGGAGGAGGAGGAGGAGGAGGAGGAGGAGGAGGAGGAGGAGGAGGAGGAGGAGGAGGGGGAGGAGGAGGAGGAGGAGGAGGGCGGAGGAGGAGGGCGGACGATGAGGAGGAGGAGGAGGAGGAGGAGGAGGAGGAGGAGGGCGGAGGAGGAGGGCGGACGATGAGGAGGAGGAGGAGGAGGCGGAGGAGGAGGGGGAGGAGGAAGAGGAGGCTCAGGCTACTTCCTAGATTGCTTGTTGGCGCGCCCCCTTTGGTGAGACTTTTACTCGACTTCATGTGGGATAAAGGCTGGGCGCGCCTGGTTAGGCAAGACTTTGGATGGATCAGGCAGTACCTTCAGACAGATGACAAGCAGTATGGGTTTGATGATGACTCTTGGATTCGTCTGGCTAGGTCGAACAAGCGCGAATATTTAGCCATCGTTGCTCAGGCTGCTGCCAGTGCCAAAAGATGTTGGGACATTACGCTGCGGCATCGACAGTGGCAACAGAGAATAATCAAGAAACTTAAGTGTCCAGCTTTGCGCACTATTCTTCAGCAGGCTAAGCGAGACAGCTCGACTCAGCTGGACACCTTTGATTTATATCAGCAGCTTGATGAGGACTTGCCTCAGCTGCTCGAGGTTTTGGGCGATGATGAGATGTCTTCCAATCCTCATGACACAGTCACGAGTGCCGAGCCAGTTAGGGCTCGGGCGGAAGCACCGACAGACTCTGAGCCCCCCCCACCCTCGGGGGGCACTCAGCCGCAGGATAATGAGGCCTTGCCACCTCCGCCTGCACCCGAGACTGCTCAAGGATTCTTGTGTTATGAGTGTGGTCATGTTGCGCGCACGGCTCGTCTTTACAGGATTCACAGATCCAAGCAGCACAAGCCAGTGGATGCCCCAGAGATGGTGGCCACTGGGTCGATGTGCCCCATTTGCTGCGTGGAGTTTTGGCAGGGGGGACGGCTGATCAAGCATCTCCACAGGTCCACTGCTTGTTTTCGTGCGTGGGTGACCTCCCCCCTGAGACCCAGCAAGGTTGAACTGGAAGAGGCTGTGGAGCAGCGAAAGCTCGAGGCTCGGGATAATCGAAGGAGGGGCAAGTCGGACACTTTTGCCCTCGTCCCTGCCCAGAAGGTCTACGGGCCTCCCTTTCGTTTGAGGATGGTTGATCCCCTCCCTGAGCGCGTCGCCATTCCCCGAGTCCCCATTGATGCGGACGGCGGGGTGCCCCCCCTGGAGTGCCATCGCGTGGTTACCCGCCCCAATGCTCAGCTCGTGGGTCTCTTGGGAATGCCGGCCGAGGACGGTAGAATGGCAAGGGCCTTCAACGCTAACTGCTGCTTTGACCCCCTTGCTCCAGGTCCCCTTCTTGCTTCCTGGCCAGGACGGGATGAGGTCGAACCCTGGGAGGGTAGGTTGGCCGAGGGAGAGGTCGCGGGACTTCTGGCAGCTCCTCACCTACCAACGTGGCGAGCTCAACGACACGCTCGGTCTCAGGCAAGGCCCTGGGACTTCGACCGCTTGTCTCAGAGGGAAGGGGAGGAGGTAGGTGTGGACAACGAGTCCCTTCAGGCCGCTCTTCTCTTATGCATGTTGTGCGTGCAGTACGATTTGCCCTTCGTTCTGTTTGTTCCGCAGGAGTGTCAGAAAGTCCCTGAGCTTAGGGGGCTGCTTAAGTGCGATGGGGTGGCCTCGGTTGTGGTGGACATGTGTTCTTTCGGGGCCCCGCATTTGTATCCGAGCCTTGTTGTGGCCAAGGGTCTTGCGTCCTTGGACGCCTTTGTGCCTGGAGTGTGCGGTGGGCGATGCCATCATAGCCTTGGCCATCCCCCCCCTCCTCGAGATGCGAGCCAGTTCCCTGCGTCGGCGGTCGGACTCGTCGCGGCGCTCCTGGTGCAGGCCTACCTAAGCAGGCCTGTGGACGGTGGCTCTTGAGTCCCTCATCTCACCCTCCCCCCTTCTTCTGCATGTGCATGTTGGGGTGCTGTCTTCGCCTTCTCTCCCACCCTTGTAAGTAGGGGTTTCGAACCTCTTTGGCCCTTAGGTAGCGAGCGAGCGAGGAGGCGGAGGCGGAGTCGGAGGAGGAGGAGGAGGAGGAGGAGGAGGAGGAGGAGGAGGAGGAGGAGGGCAGCGCGAGGACGACGGGTCGGGGGAGGAGGAGGAGGAGGAGGAGGAGGAGGAGGAGGAGGAGAAGGAGGAGGAGGAGGAGGGGGAGGGGAGGAGGAGGAGGAGGAGGAGGAGGAGGAGGAGGAGGAGGAGGAGGGCGGGAGGAGGAGGAGGGGGAGGAGGAGGAGGAGGAGGAGGAGGAGGAGGAGGAGGAGGAGGAGGAGGAGGGGGCGGACGATGAGGAGGAGGAGGAGGAGGAGGAGGAGGAGGAGGTGGAGGTGGAGGTGGAGGTGGAGGAGGAGGAGGAGGAGGAGGAGGAGGAGGAGGAGGAGGAGGAGGAGGAGGAGGAGGCGGAGGGGGAGGAGGAAGAGGAGGAGGCGGAGGCGGAGGCGGAGGAGGAGGAGGAGGAGGAGGAGGAGGGAGGAGGAGGAGGAGGAGGAGGGCAGCGACGAGGACGACGGGTCGGAGCGCGCCGGCAAGCGAGGTGAAACAGCACCGCCGAGGAAGGGGAGGACCACCGCCGCGCAGGGCGCGCCGCGGGGCCGGGCCGAGTCCGAGGAGAGCCCCCTCGAGGGCAGGAGGGAGGAACCAGGAAGCCAACCCTCCTCCTCCTCCTCCTCTCCTCCTCCTCCTCCTCCTCCTCCTCCTCCTCCACCTCCTCCACCTGCGGCCCCACGGGGCTTGGCGTATGCCCGGAAATCTGGCGTGGACTTCTGCGTGGTATGCGCTGCGGCCCCCGATGGGCCGAGGTGCAACAGTCGAAGAAGAAAGCACGACACAAACAGAAACGTTCGACGGTTCGCGCGGCTTCTTGGATCTGCGCTGAAGCGCCCTGGCGCTGCCCCTGGCGCCGCCAGAGGCGCCAGGGAGAGGGGTCCAGCGCAGATCCAAGAAATCCGCGCGAACCGTCTGAAGTTTCTGTTCATGCCGGCTTGTTCTTCTTCGGAACATGGAGTGTCGTGGGTGGGGTGGTGTCGTTGGCTCTCTGGTCGAGGGGAGGACGGGGCGCAGGCGGGGCCGAGGACGGAGACGGCGAGGCCCAGCAGCGAGCGCTGGGCGCAGCGGAGTGCACGGCCAGAGGACAGCCCCTGAGGGGCTCCACGGAGCTCTGTCGGCCCTGGCGGCGACCCACAGAGCACGTCGCGGGTCAGGCCTGGCAGCGGGCGGAGGGCACAGCGGGGTGCACGAGGCCGAAGGGCAGCCCCCGGAGGCCTCACCGGGCCTTCACCGGCGGCCCGCTGAGCATGTCGCGGGTGAGGTCCGGCAGCGAGCGCTGAACGCGGCGGAGCACCTCCTTCCGCAGGTAGGCGTCCGTGTTGTACCCTGCAGGCCCAGGCGTCTCTGTGGCCGGCCTCTGCCACGCAGGGAGCCTCTTGGCGGAGAACTTGTCCAGGCCCTGGTCCTGGATCTTGTCCCGCACGATGACGGCGCCCCTGCGATCCAGCGCCGCCTTCTGCTCGTACTCGCCGGGCGCCGGGACGTCCGACTTGTCCCTGATGGCCTGGTCCAGGTAGGACACGCGCTGGCGGTCGCTGAACTTCAGCGGCTTGGACGTCGTCTCGACGGACTTCCCGTTGGCCAAGACCTTCACGTCGTAGTACCCTGGCGGAGGGTTGTACTTGTTCGCCTCGCACCTCTCGTCCGGGATGCCCACGCGGGCCTCCTGTTGGGGCGGCTACCCAGGAAATGGAGAGGAAAAGGAGGAGGAGGAGGAGGAGAAAGAGGAGGAGAGGGAGGAGGAGGAGGAGGAGGAGGAGGAGGAGGAGGAGGAGGAGGAGAAGGGGGAGGAGGAGGAGTCTCTGGGGGCCCCTCAGAAGCCCAGCGCCAGCTTCTCGGGGGCGGCAGGGGGAGGGAGTTGCGGGCAGGTGCGGGTGCGCTCGAGCCACGTCTGACATCCCTGCGCAATTGCCCCTCCCGTGAACGACCTTTCACTTCCCCTTGCGCTTTTTGGCTTTGCTGCTCGTCGAGTCGGGCGTCGAGATTGGTCTCGATCCCCGGATGGCGTCTGCAGCGCCTGACCCGTCGCGTACTGTGCAGAGGGCGACGGGGGGGAGGCAGGACTAAGAAGCGCGGAGGGAGGTCGGGCGGCATCCGTGCGGAGACGACGCGCACAATCGGATTGCGCCATTGCCGAGGCCTCAGGGCTCCTTCGACGCAATGCAGGAAGGGGGGTGGGAGGGGGAGACGAGAAGCCAGGAATGGCGGGCCGAGGAGGAAAGGAATGAGGAGACAGCGACGGAGGAGGAGGAGGAGGAGGACGACGGCGAAAGAAGGAAGAAGGATAAGGAGCAGGAGGGGAGGAAAAGGAAGTAAGGGAGAAGGAAAACGAGGACGCGACGACAACGACGACGACGTCCTCAACGATAACAACAACGACGACGACGACGACGAAGACGACGACATCGACGACGACGACGACGACGACGACGACGACGGCAACGGGGACGACGACGACGACGACGACGACGACGACGACGACGACGACGACGACAACGAAGACGGCGGCGGCGGGGGCGACGACGACACCCAAGGGAGGGAAAGGAGGGCAGCGCGCACGAACGTGGGCACCCGACCCCCATGCGTCGCAGTCCGGCGTGCACGGCAGGGGCGGGCGAGCGACAGGCCCGTGGTTGGGGGTGAGAGGAGTGTACAGTCGGGGCGTTGACCGAAGGAACCCGAAATGAGGAACGAGGCCCCTTTGTTCCATAAGTTCACCTTCGATTCCCTGTCGAAGACATGAGGAAAGCCTGAGGCAAGCTGCGAAACACTTAAGGAACGCGGAGCCCCTTCCCAACGAAAAGGGTTCCTTCTTCAGGGCCCCGACTGTAGGACGAGGAGTGGGGACCGAGGTTCGAGGGTCGAGGTTCTCAGGCGCGTCTGGCCTGTTTCAAATCCCAGGGGCCTCTGGAGGCCTCCCCGGCCTCTGAGGGGGGGGCCTTCGGCGGCCTCCGGGGGCCTCCTGAGGGAGGAGGAGGAGGAGGAGGAGGAGGAGGAGGAGGAGGAGGAGGAGGAGGAGGAGGAGGAGGAGGGGGAGGGGGAGGAGGAGGAGGAGGGGGGAGGAGGAGGAGGAGGGGGAGGAGGAGGAGGAGGAGGAGGAGGGAGGAGGAGGAGGAGGAGGAGGAGGAGGAGACCTCCTGGGGCATCCAGGGAACCTCCTGAGGCATCCAGGCAGCCATGTCCTCTGAGGCCGAACCACACGCATGGGTGGATCCGCAGGTGGGACACGCGAAGCCGCACGCTGGGTACTCCAGATTTCGTAATAAAGGGAGGGGGGTCTCATTTCGGGGGGGGTCTCTTCCAGGCTATCTTGGAGGGCCTGGGGGGTCTGGGGACGTTGTTTTGGAGGGTTCTCCCACGGGGGAGGTCTGAAATGGCTTGTCTTGGAGGGTCCAGACCCCCTCCCTTTTATTACGAAATCTGGAGTACACGCGCAGGGACCACCGTTCTCGGCCACAGGAGGGCCAGGCGCTGGGAAGAGATGCAGCCACATGCGTGTCCAGCTCTCGCCCAAGCTGACCGCGTCGTGTGCGTGCCTGTATGTATAGTTATGTGTATTGCGTGTGTGTGTTCATGTATGTATGCATGTATGTATGTATGTCTCTCCTGTCTGACTGATTGTCTGTCTTTCTGTCTTGATATCTGTCTCTGTCTATGTCTATGCCTCTGTCTGTGTGTGCGTGTGAGTGCATGCGTGCGTGCGTGCGTGCGTGCCTGCGTGTGGGCGGCTGAGTGAGAGTGCGTGTGTGTGTGTGTGTGTGCGTGCGTGCAGTGTGTATGTGTATGTGTTTGTGTGAGCGCGCGTGCGTCGGTGCGTGCGTGCGTGTGCGTGCGTGCGTGTGTGCGTGCGTGTTTGTACGGGTGTGTGTACGTAAGCGGGTGCATGTGGGTGTGGGTGTGGGTGTGTGGGTGTGTGCTCGTGTGTTTGAGTGTGTGTGTGTGCGTGACGGTGTGTGCGTGTGTGCTTGCGAGTGCGTGTGTGCAAGTGGGTGTGCGGGTGTGCCTGTGTTTGTGTGTGCGTGCGTTTCTACGCCCCGTCGCCACGCGCGGGGCCGCGACGCAAAAAAATGTGCGTCTGTGTGCGTGTGTTGTGTAAATGCGTATGTGTGTGCCGTCTACGCCCTGTCGCTGCGCTGCGCGCAGGGCCGCTACGCGAAAAAGTGTGTGTGTGTGTGTGTGTCTGTGTGTGTGCCAGTGTGTGTGTGCTGTGCGTGTATGCTGTGTGTTGTGTGTTGTGTGCGTGCTGTGTTGTGTGGTGTGTGTGTTGTGTGTGTACTGTGAGCTGTGTGCTGTATGTTTGTTTTGTGTGTGGTGTGTGTTGTGTGTTGTGTGTTGTTGCTTGTGTGTTGTGTGCTGTCTGTTGTGTTTTGTGTGATGTGTCGCGTGTGTTATGTTATGTTGTGCGTGTGTCTGTGTGTGGATGCCTGCGCGCAGGGTAGCGACACCAAAATGTGTGTGGGGGGGGGGCGTGTGTGTGGTGTGTGTTGTGTGCTGTTTATGGTGTGTTGTGTGCTGTGTGGTGTGTAGTGTGTGTGTCGTGTGTTGCGTGCTGTGCGTTGTGCGGTGTTTGTTGTGTGGTGTGTGTTGCGTCTTGTGTGGTGTGTGTTGTGTGCCTTGTGTGTGTTGTGTGCTGTGTGCTGTGTGTTGTGTGCTGTGTGTTGTGTTGTGTGGGTGTGTGTGGGTGTGTTGTGAGGTGGGTGTTGTGCGTTCTGTGGTGTGTTGTGCGTTGTGAGGTGTGTGGTATGCGTTGTGCGTTGCGTGTGTGGTGTGTTGTGTGTGTTGTGCGTTGTATGTTGTGTTGTGCGTTGTGTGTAGCGCTGTGGATGTTCGGTGTTGGGTGGTGTATGCTGTGTGTTGTGCGTTGTGTGTGGTGTGTGTTGTGTGGTTTGTGGTGTGTGGTGTGTGGTGTGTGGTGTGTGTGTTGTGGATTGTGTGTTATGTGTTGTGTGGTGTGTGTGTGTTGTGTGTTGTGTGTTGTATGCTGTGTATTATGTGTTGTGCGCCATGTGTTGTGCGTTGTGACTTGTGTGTTGTGCGTTGTGTGTTGGGTGCTGAGCGCTGTGTTTTGTGTGTTGGGTGTCGGGTGTTGGGTGTTGTGTTGTGTGCTGTGTGTTGTGTGTTGTGCGTTGGGTGTTGGGTGTTAGGTGTTGTGTGCTGGGTGTTGGGTGATGTGTGTTGTGTGTTGTGTTGTGTGTGGTGTGTGTTGTATGGCGTGTGATGTGTGATGCGTGGTAGGTGGTGTGTGCGGTCTGGTGTGTGGTGTATGGTGTATGGTGTGTGTGTGTGGGGGGGGGGGAGGGTGTGTATGGTGTGTGTGGTGTGTGTGGTGTGTGTGTGCTTGTGTTTGGTGTGTATGGTGTGTGTGGTGTGTGCGGTGTGTGGGGGGGAGGGGGCGGATGAGTGTGGGGGGGGGTTGTGGGTGACCAGGTGTGTGGGTGTGTGGGTCCGTGTGGGTGTGTGTGTGTGGGTGTGTGCGTGCGTGCGTGCGTGCGTGTTTGCGTGTGTGCGTGCGTGCGTGTGCGTGCGTGCGTGTGGGAGTCTGGGTGTGTGCGTGTGTGTGCGTGCGTGCGTGCGTGCGTGCGTGCGTGCGTGCGTCCCTGTGTGTGGGGGGGGGGTGTACGTGTGTGTGAGGGTGCGGTTGTGTGTGTGTGCATGTGCGCGTGCGTGCGTGTGTGCAGCTTCCCGGCGGCACTCGTTGTGCCAAAAACTGTAGGGGGCGCGAGCGCGGCAGGCGCCGAGGCCAGAGCACCACTCGGAACGACCGAAAACGCTCCGAAGAAAAAGTCACACACGCAGAAAACAAAAACAAAAAAAACAAAACAAAAAACAGAAAACAAAAAAAACGCACACGCAGAACTCAAAAAACAGCAACAAAAAAGGCGCACACGCAGAAAACAAAAAAATGTCCGGGAAATCCGATGCGAAAACCATGAAGTGCGGAGGGGGCGGGTCTGACACTGGATGAGGTCGGGGGGGGAGCCGAGGGCCGAAGACAGTGCTCATCATGAGAAGTAGCCGTGGAGGCGGCGGAAGTCACCAGCTGCCAGCTCCTCCTGGAAGTTGGGCCCCCGAGATCGAAGCTCGAGGAGGAGGAGGGGGAGGAGGGGAGTGTGCTCTTGGGGCCCACTTCCCTGAGGAAGTGGCCTCCCTGAGGGATGAGGTTCCCCCCAATCGCCGATCCTTGCCGATCTTGCCCGTCTTGGCGTCCAGCAGGGTGCTCTGCGGGGCCTCGTACTGCCCGGGGCCAGGAAGGCAGTCCCGCCGCAGGTTGAGGCCGCGGGAGCCCTTCGTGGCGTCCTGCTTCATGTTGCGCGCCTTGCGCTGGTCGATCAGCTGGTCCTTCAGCGCCAGGAGCGTCTCGATGCGCTCGATGTTGCCCTCCACCTGGCCGCGGAGCTCGTCGCGCCGGTAGCCCTCGACACGCTCAATGCGGTTCTTGGACTCCCGCACGTCCATGAGGTGGAGGTGCTGCTCCTCGCTGCGCACCTGGCGAAGCTTCGCGTCCTCCTCGCGGCGGGCCTGCACCTCCATCATCTTCCTGTCCATCTCCTGCAGCCTCTGCTCGCTGGCCTGGATCCGCTCGTTGAGCAGATCGTCGCGCTTCTCCTTCATCGATTCGACCCTGGCCCTGAAGAGGCTGGTCTGGTCGCTGCAGTTCTGCAGCTTCTCCTCCCTGAACTTCTCCAGGCGCTCCTCCTCGGCCAGCCTCTCGTTCTGTATCTTGGCGTGCCTCTGGGAGCTTCGCAGAAGGGGAGGCGCCACCCGACCCACCCACCCCCCTCCAGACCCCACCCACCCCAGTCCTGCATTTGGATTCTCCCTCCGCCGCCACCCTCCTACCCCTATCTCCATCTCCGCCGCCTCCTTTCTGCCACGTGGGATAGCGAGGATTGATGTTTTGAACGCTCCGAGAAGCCTCTCTATGCGCTCCGCCTCCACCAACTCGCGGTTCTCCACTGCCTTGCCCGCCCTTCGCTCCCTGTTGACCTTCGCCGCGAGACCGTTGTTCACCTGGTGGCTGTCATCTCCATCCTCCTGCTACTTCTGCTCATCCTCCCCCTGCTCCTGCCCTGAACCCCAGACGTCGCGAAAAAAACCTGACGGCTGAGGGGCGTTTTTGCTAACGATTCTTGCCTCTGGGGGCCAGTTTCGGGCTCTGCGACCCGACCATAAAAAGGCACTACCCCAGACGAAAACAACGGTCCAGGGGATGGTGTCGACGCAAGCTCCAGGGGCCCATGTAGCAACCACACACACACACACACAAACGCACGCACACGCACACGCACATACACACACACACACACACACACACACACACCAAAAAAAAAAAAAAACGACGTCGGAGGTCTGAGGCCTCCTTCTCTTCCTCATCCCTCCTTCCTCCCCATCCTCCCCATCCTCCTCCTCCTCCTCTTCCTCCTCCTCCTCCTCCTCCTCCTCCATCTCCTCCATTCCCTTTCCATCTCATAACTCCTCCCTGTCGCACCCCGAGACCAATCGGAAGGGTGGGCCGGGCGTTTCGCCTGAGACCTCCCTACCATGTATGATCTTGAATCTTAAAAATGACAACAGTCTCACATATTGACGGCGGGTCGCTTCCAAAATGTGGCCCTCGCCTTAGCGCCACGCGCATTCGTCTCCAAAAGTTTACAAGAGCTTCACGAATTGAGGACGGGTGGTTTTCTAAATGTGCCCCTCGCCTCAGCTCCGCGCACAGTCGTCCTAAAGTTCAGCACGAGTTTCACAGAGTGAGGGCGAGTCGTTTTCGAAATGTGGCTCTCGCCTTAGCGCCGCGCACATTCGTATGAAAAGTTAGCACGAGCTTCAGGGATGGAGGGCGAGCGGTTTTCAAAATGTGGCTCACGCCTTAGCGCCGCGCACATTCGCATTGGAAGTTTGCAAGAGTCTCACGGATTATCGGGTATGGGAGCGATTCAGGATTGTGAGGGCGGCTCGTGACGTCGAAGTCCCAAGAAAGGTGTTTGGGCACGCTTTAGGACCTTCAAACGGTTGTCTCCCAACGGCTCACTTCCCTCTGTGAAAATGAAGCCTTGTATAGGGGCCTATGGAGAAGGAGCATGAAGGGAGGCTTTATTCCAACATCGTTGATGAGTCTTAGCTTTACGCTCCTCCTCCTCCTCCTGCTCCTCCTCCTCATTCACCTGATGGTGTTCTGCAGCGGCCGCCTTTTTCCTCTCGCACTCCATCAGCTTGGCCTGTAGCTGGCTCTCCTTCTTAAGCTGCTCCTCGTTCTCCTTCGAGCAGTTTGAGTCAACTTGAGGCGCACCCCTGATCCCTGACGCCCAAAATCCGCCGACATTTCCTTTCGTCTGCACACAAGAGTGATCTTAAGCAAGAGTGGCCTTCGGTGCGCGGCTCAACTCGGGACGCGGGTTGGCCAAACCTGGGCGCGCAAGCCGCTCCTACCGCTTCGCGTTCAGCGATCGGGGGACCCCATTGGGCCCGCACCAAGGGTCACTCTGGCGGCCACTCTCACGTCTAGTCGATCCCCTCCCACCTCCCCCCCCCGTCCCTTTTCCCCGCCCGCGGCCCTCTCCACATCCCCCTCCCCGAACCCCCCCACCCCACCCCGGCAAAAAGCTGTGGCCCCAATGGGCCGCCCCCCAGCCCCATCGGCGGTGAGATCCCGCCAACCGTCGGGGGAGCAGGTGCTCCCACCGCACGCCAGAAGACTTCCCCCCAGGGAGGCCTGCCGGATGCCCTTCGGGGGCTACTTGGGGGCCCTCCCAGGGCCTCTCGGGGGCGTCCTACGGTGCGCGGGCAGGATGCGCGGTCAACCCGCAGGCTAGGGACACACGATAAGGGTGCAAGGGCCCTGGACGGCCACGTCGACACGCTGCGGGCTGGGCGCGGCCAGCGAGAGCGGCCAAGGACGGGCCGCAGGAGAAGGGTGCAAGGACACCCTTGGAGAGTCGCTCGTCATTACTATGCGGGCTGACTGCAAAACAGAAATCTGCACGTTCAACCGAAGCCACCTGGAGGCCTCGTGGGTCCGCCCGAAGGCATCTCGGAGACCCCCCTTCATGCCTTCTGGAAGGCTTGTTGGGGGCCTCTGTGGCCTCTTGGAGGCCTCTTCGGGCCGCTAGCAGACTTACGGGGCCGTTTGGGCCATTGACCTTGTCCCCGTCGAGTTCGGAACGGGCTTGGAGCCTCTCTTGGGGCCCTCTTAGGGCCTCTCTTGGGGCTCTCTGGGGTCGGAGGCCAAAAATGGGTCCTGAGGGATGGGGTCCTGAGAACGAGGCGCCTCAAACAAGGCAAGTCCACCCTTGGATCCCTTCCCATCCGTGGGTCCCCCATCCCTCAGGAGCCCATCTCTGAGCCACCGATTGGGGGGCCCCTGTGACCGCCTCGGGCCCCTCCCGAGTCCGTCCTGGGGGCATCTCGAGGCCCGAAGAGCCCTTCGGGAGCGAGCAGGCGAGGGAGCACGGATCGCCACTTGCCCACGGGCTCCAAAAAGATGGGGGTGGGGGCCCGAGGGGGGGCCCTTTGTGGCGGCGTCCTGGGGCCATCTTGGGCCAACCTGGAATTCAGCCCTGGCATGTCTTGTCTTCGGTCGGGCGCGTCCCTCTACAGCCTCCTCCTCGTCCTCCCCGCGCGTCCTTGACCAGCGAGCTGTGCTGGCGCAGCTGCCCCTTCAGATCCGCCTCCAGGCGCTTGGCCTCCTCGAGGGGGGCCCGAGGAGGAGGGAAGGGCGAGGAGTCAGCAAGACGTGCGGGAAGACGGAGAGGGGGGGGGGGGGGGGGGGCAAACAGGAGGGGGAGCGGATGGCAAGGAGGAGCAGGGCGAGGACCAGGAGGAGACAAGGGCGAGGGAGGGGAAGGAAGAAGACGGGGAGGGTGGAACGGTTTCCCCCCCCTCGTCATCAAAATCCTCCTCATCCTCCTTCTCCTCCGCCTCCTCCTCCTCCTCCTCCTCCTCCTCCTCCTCCTCCTCCATTCCTTGTCCGTGTAAGTAACTCCTCCCTGTCGCAACCCGAGGCCGGTCGAAAAAGCGGGCCGCGCGTCCCTCACCATCCATGATAATGAATCTTGTAATTTGCAACAGCTTGACGGATGGAGGGCGGATGGTTTTCAAAATGTGGCTCTCGCCTCAGCGCCGCGTGAATTCGTCCTCAAAGTTTGCACGAGTTTCACCGATTGAGGGCGTGTCGTTTTCAACATGTGGCTCTCGCCTGAGTGCCGCGTGAAATTGTTGTGAAAATTGCAACAGATTCACGAACGGAGAGCAACTCCTTTTCAAAATGTGGTTTTCGCCTTAGCGCTGGGCACAATCGTTTTCAGAGTTTACAACAGTTTCAATGACTCCCATGGCTGATATAGCAAAAAAATGCGTACTGGCACGATGTCGGACTGTCAGGGCACGATGTCGGACTGTTACGGTGATTCGTGGTGTTGAAGTCCCAGCAACGGCGTTCTGGCACGATTCGATGCCATCAAGGCGCAACAGTAACGGTAGTTCGCGGCGTCGCATCCGAGGAATGGTGTTCTGGCACAGCTGTTTGGGGCCCGAGTGGCCCTTTGGCTCTACCAAAGTGGGCGTCCTCGGAGTCTCCTGCCCCGAGAGACCTCCCAACCCGGCCGGGCGCCGAGCGCGCGATTGGCGGGCGGAGGGGAGGCATCCAGCCACTGGTGTGAGGCACTACGGATGACTTGCTTGGACTTCAGCTGCGGGTAACCTGAGGTCGCTTGCCGCAGCCCTCCCCGTTCTGGTAGCAGTCCGGGCTCTGGGTTCTTTGCTTGACGGCTCCCTGCCCTCTGGCTCGCTCGCTCCCCGGAGCGAACGCCGCATCCGACGAATGGCAGGCAGGAGCGGCTGCCAGACTGACGACGGGGCGGGCGAGGATGGGGGGGCCCTGGGACACACAAACAAATGCACACAAGTAAACAGATTCCCCATATTTTCCCATATTTTCTGGGCTTCTGTCGTCCCCCCCACTGCACATATTTTCCCATGTTTTCCTGGGACTCGACGATTCATTGTGTCTGTGTGTTTTCCCCTCCTGAGAGGAGAGAGGCTCGCCCTCGCCCGCCACGTTCGCCTCGTGCGCAGCACAGACTGGACACAACCCCGACGCAGCGCCTCCGAACGGCCCTGGGTGGCGTCTCGGGGCGGCTACACGAATAAAGACGGGGCAGCAGGCTCCAGTGTTCTACAGTCGGGGCGTTGACTTAAACCCTAAATAAGGAACGAGGCCCCTTGTCTTCCATAAGTTAAGCTTCGAGTTCCCATAGAAAACCAAAAAGGGAAACCAAAGGCTGACTGCGACAGAGAAGGAACACAGAGCCCCTCCCCAACGCCAAGGGTTCCTTCTTCAGCGCCCCGACTGTAAGAACCTTTTGTAGCCTGCACGAAAAATGTTCTAAGAGCGCTCCTGGCTGGGACTGTCTTGTCTCCACACATCGGGTTTCTGCTCCACCGGAGTTCTGAGAACATGTCCTGGTAGGCCTATAGAAGTGCCAAGACGGTCGGTCCCTGCTCAACCAGAACCGTCCTTGCGAAACTGCACGGCAGACGGGGCCAGCTGCCTGGCGGGCGGCCCCCAATCCCACCAGCCCTCTCGGAGTAGGTGCTTCAGGCCGATCTGTCTTCTAACCCCATCTGCGGACTCGACCGGCCGCCAGCCGGAACCATGAGGGCCCCGCCTTCCATCCCTGTCACAAACAATACAAGTGCACGCTGCGGCAGACTTTGGATCGTGAGCGGGAGACCAGCGAGCACTTCGCATTGGTCCTTTGACAGGGATTGCGGTAGTGCGAGCAATGTTGTCTGCTGCCCAGTATGCCTCTACCCCTGTCAAAACCAAAACGAACTCACTGCGGGCGCGTATACCATATGCCATGCTGACCACCACGGCGCCAATCTACGACAGAGCGTCGCACACTTGGCGTCTGCATTGATTCCCGATGTATGTCCATCCGATGGCGACCTGTCTAGGCTGAGTCTCGCGTATTACTTATATGGCGGGAGGACGGGTGAGAAGAGAGAGATAGCGTGTGGCGCTCCCATATGGAACTTGACCCCATCCACCATTCATCCTCCCCTTGAATGGAACCAGGGTTTCTCGAGGTGCGTTTTCTGTAAGGTCCCACTCCCCCTGCTCCTCCACCTCCTCCTACTCCTCTGCCCCCTCTTCTTTCCTCTCCCTCGTTCTCATCCCTCAACCCCCTTCTCCTCATCCTCGTGCTCGGAGGGCGGCTGAATTTGTGAATTCTAGTGCGCCCCACAATTGTGAGTTCAAATGGGTCACAGCATTTGGGATTCCAGTGAACCCTGCCTGGTCTGCGACGCGCTGGCTTGCGGAACTCACGTGGATGCCAAATCTCAGAAATTGGTAAATCCTCCCCCCGTTTAGCTCCCTCCCCCCTGTTGATCTCCCCGGCGTCCGCACTCATATCTGTGCTCACTCTGTCGCTCCGTGCTTCTGATCCGTTGCCTTCGACACAGGAACCAAGTAATCCGCGACACACGGTCGAAGCAAAAATGTGCCAACTAAAGATGTGGCCAGGTATGTGTAGCCGCTGGAGGAGCTGTCCCACGAGCGTGGCCGATAGACGTTGATCTCTGGAGCTCTGCTTCAATCAGGCTTCGAAGCTCTACACCCAGATCGATATTCAGAGGATGGACTGGCATCCCGAGAATTGTCTTAGATACTGGCCCCCTGCCCACGTCTTCCCGCTCTCGCGTTGCTGGTCCACCCTCCCCCCCAGCATACCCAGTTACCCGCCCGTTCTGCCCTCCTCGCCACTGCACTCAGCCTCAGCCTGGTCCATTTGAAACCCGCTCGGGCTTCGACCCACAGTGGGAGTTCACGCGGCAGTTCAAAAATAAGGGTTTAACTGTAACCACCAGGTCGGTGACCCCTCCAGCAGGGACCCTCAGGCACGTTTGGCGCGTGATGTATCACAGAATGGTCGTTGACACTGCAAACACGCTCTTCCATCCCGAAACACCTTACACACCTGGTGGTGCCTCGAAACTTCAAGCGCAATGCGTTGTGTAAATTTGCTGTTCCCATCGCTGCACCCGTTCAAACGCGTGTCAACGTTGGGTCTTCATCAAGCCTTTTGTATCGAAGGGCAACCACGGAAGCAGCCCCGACATACTCTGAGTGGTTCTTTTGTTCAGAACACGCTGGTCCTTGTGTTGCTCGGGGCTGCTCATTGGAGTCCCCAACAACCCCCCAGCACTCCTCAAACCCCAAAAATCATATGTTCTTATCCTCCTGCTTTCCTTCTCCTCCTCCTCTCTCCTCATCCTCCTCATCCTCCTCATCTTCCTCCTCCTCCTCCTCCTCCTCCTCCTTAACGTCATCAGCATCACCATCACCATCATCACCATCAGCAGCAACAGCATCGTCATTCTCATCCTCCTCCACCTTCTCCTCCCCCTCCTCGCCCTCCTCCTCCTCCTCCTCCTCGTCGTCGCCGTCGTGCCTGTCGCTCGTATTATCACGGCGCCTTGTCGAACAGGGACTCGAGCATGGACAGGAACTGGCCGCTCTGCACCCCAGGCGCATTCCCCTTCTGGGCGTCCTGTGGGAGACGCTTCTGGGGCGGACCAATCTCACTCGGGGGGGGTCCCGGCTCCTGGGGAAGGAGAAAAGGGAGGTGAGGGGCCATGGGAGCAGAAAACGGGGGTAGGAGGGGAGCAGGGAGGGAGAGGAGGAGAATGGGCCCTACCTTCCTCTCCTGC